GCTGTATTTTCTTGATTTTGAGTAGAAGTGTTCTTTCTGTTGCCATTTTTTTTTGAGTCTTCCTTGTTGCTTATTCACTCCGTCCAGGGAATTTTCAGTATCCTGTTTCTGCCTCTTCCAGTTTTCTCCTCGTTTGTGGGAAGATTGTCCAGCATCCTCTGTCATATAATGGAATGGCTACCGCATAGCATCATACATTCTTTTCTTTGTTTATAACGAAATTCACCCGAAATCTTCAGCTTAACCTTACGAATTCTTCTTTCGCTAGTCATGTTCCAATCTCAGTGTCGCATTTTCAATCCTCTGTTATTTTTACCAGATTTCTTTTAAACATTTCATCAAAAGCAAGGCACTAAAGCCGCTAAGATGCAAGGTGTTACTAAGTATAAAAAGATATGAGAAAATGAAAAAAATTATTAAGGGGAGAGGACAACAAAAGAACCGGAATTAAGAAGATAAAAATAACGATTGACATTGCATTTACGTTTCTGAAGATCCTAGTTGACTGGAAACAAGATGTCGGAAGAGAATTCCACAAGCGAGAAGTCAGAGAAACTGTTAGCATAAAACTTAAAGTTACTTCTAGCCATTTCACCTGTAAAATGATAAGACCGTTCCGCCAGTCAAGTCTTTCATCTTTTTATGTGAGGTCTCCTTTTAGGAAGTAGGCGATCATGGCTCTCCACTTCTCCCTATCCCTTGTAGCTCTCAATAAGTTTCGTCCCTCTCCCTCCTCCCCCAGACCACGTCCTGTTATCCAGTTGCTTAAGCCCGTCAGGTATGTCATGCGTTGTTTTCCCTTGTCTCTCTTTCCCTCTATTCGAACTGTGAGTATCAGATTCTCCAAGCCCTCTTTTTTAAATACGTGTCCCAGACATTTCATCTGCCTCTTCCTGATATTAAGTATTAGCCTCCCTGTTTGCATCCTCTCCAAGACCTCATCGTAGCTAACACGCCCGGTCCATGCAATCCTTAGCATCCTTCTGTAGAACCATATCTCCGTCCCCTCGAGTGTCTTCTTCATCGTTGAGGAGAACGTCCAACATTCGCTGCCGTAAAGAAGGACAGATGTCACGTAACAGTTCAATATTCTTTTCTTTGTTATTTTTATTATTATTATGCTATGAATATAACTATTATGATATCCTTATCATCCTTCTGTAGAACCACATCTCTGTCGCCTCGATTCTCTTCTTCATCTTTGAGAAAATCCTCCAATATTCGATTCCGTAAAGAAGGACAGATGTCACGTAACAGCTCAGTATTCTTTTCTTTGTTATTTTTATTATTATTTTGATATGTTTATTACTATTATGATATCCTTAGCATCCTTCTGTAGAACCACATCTCTGTCATCTCGAGTCTCTTCTTCATCTTTGAGGAAATCCTCCAATATTTGCTGACATAAAGAAGAACAGATGTCACGTAACAACTCAGTATTTTTTCTTTTGTTTGTTACCAAAGAAACTACGTGTTATGGGACCTTACCCATAATAACATAATGGACTATCCCATACGTAATAAATACTGCGCCTCAAGAGGAAGCAGGGAGTTCAGTCCGAAGTCGGGCGACCGGCTGATCAGCTGATCGGTTGAACTCTCTTCCTTCGGGCGGGGAGGAACCCGAACGAGGCTACGCCGAAAGGCGGAGTCTCTTACGGGTTCATGATTACGCCTTCAGCATCCTTCTGTAGAACCACATCTCCGTCGCCTCGAGTCTCTTCTTCATCTTTGAGGAAATCGTCCAACATTCGCTGCCGTAAAGAAGGACAGATGTCACGTGACAGTTGAGTATTCTTTTCTTTGTTACCAAAGATATCCTCCTGTCTCGAAATACTCTGCCTAGCTTTTTGGAATGTGTCCTTGGAAGAAGCGTCAAATTAAATAAGTGAAAAAATGAAATTGCCTTCAAACAGTTGAGACTATGTAGTGAGACCGTTTAAAACAATAGTAAAACAATAGCGATAAAAAACAAGGATAAGCCATGGAAAGATGAATTATATCGGTTCTGGACATCAAAAAAATATAAAATGTTATATATATATATATATATATATATATATATATATACAACGAGGGAGTATAAGACACAGTCAACCCCCAAAAAAAAAAAAAAAAAAAAAAACAGAAATTCCAGAGGAAAAAGAAGTTCACTATTTCAATTGGACTATTGTCCTCATCTTTGTCGCCATATTTATTATGTTTCAGTCGTTGAACGCTCCGGCCTTCTGCAGGTGGTTGGAATGTCGAACGGAATCCTTTTTATTTCGCTCACTGGGGTAGACTGTTCTAGTTCCACGTGCCATGTTTAATGGATGTCAGTTATCAGCTATCTCCTGTTAATTCCCCCTCTCAAAGTTCTCCACTGCCTTAACCAGGTATTGAACTTTGGGTCTTGTCACTGGATCTAACTAACGCCTTTATCCACTGTGCCATGTGTTCTTGACATTGCAACCACCTGAAGAAGGCCGGTTCATACAACGGCCGAAACGTTGTAATATGGCGACATGATGAGGACAATAGTCCGAATAGTGTAAATTGTATACATAATACCTCATTTCAGAAATATAGACAGATACTGAAAAAGAAGTTATTTTCATATATAAAACGTACCTGGTTTTATAGCAAAGCAAAAGCCCAAAACTTGTGAAAATGAAAGTGAAGAAAATAAAAAGCGAAAATATAGAGGGGACATTTTGTTTGCTTGTTTAAGCATTATGAAAAAAACATGATAAGGTCTCTTAAATCGCCAATACCCATTGAGAAAATAAAAGCAAATAAAACTGAATAAATATTAACTTGTTTTTTTTGTTTTAAGTGTAAAACATTTATTTTCCTTTGTTGCGCTACTAGATAAATATGGCTTTGGGAATCAAATCTATCTATCTATCTATCTATCTATCTATCTATCTATCCCAGTCTGTTCATATCTATCTATCTATCTATCTATCTATCTATCTATCTATCCCAATCTGTTCATATCTATCTATCTATCTATCTATCTATCTATCTATCTATCTATCTATCTATCTATCTATCCCAGTCTGTTCATATCTATCTATCCCAGTCTGTTCATATCTATCTATCTATCTATCTATCTATCTATCTATCTATCTATCTCAATATATATTGGTTTGTTTTGTTTTACGCACCTCAATGGGTTATTTAATGCTGACAAAATTTTTATTGCTGGTAATATTTTTTTTATCTATCTATCTATCTATCTATCTATCTATCTATCTATCTATCTATCTATCTATCTATCTATCTATCTGGCCAAGTCTGCCCATATCTTATTTACATTATTTACATTGGTCGGTCGGTTGTCCTCATCTTTATTGGTTACTGCAGTGGAAAAAAACAAGAAAAAAGAAAAAAAAAAACTTGAGAGTTTAGTTAAAGGGAGATAAATGAGACATCCAGAAGACGCATGGCAAGTCGAACTACAGCAATCTACCCCGGTGAGCGAAATTTCAGTTGAAGAAGACCAGACCGTAAAACGGCCGAAACATAGTGAAGATGTCAATAATGATGTGGACAACAGTCCGAACAATGTAAATAATGTAAATAATTACAATACTTCATCTCAGGAATATAGACAGATACTGTCCACATCTATCTATCTATCTATCTATCTATCACATTCTGTTCATATCTATCTATCTATCTATCTATCTATCTATCTATCTATCTATCTATCTATCTATCTATCTCTTTCTGTTCACATCTATCTATCTATCTATCTATCTATCTATCTATCTATCTATCTATCTATCTATCTATCCCAGCCTCCTCATTATCTCTCTGTCTGTCTCTGCCTGTCTGTCTGCCGGTCTGTCTGTCTGTTTGTCTGTCCCTCTCTCTCTTTCTCGCTCTCTCTCTCTCTCTCTCTCTATATATATATATATATATATATACATATTTATATATATAATTTATATATATATATATATATATATATTTATATATATATAATTATATATATATATGTTATATATATATATATATATATATATATATATATATATATATATATATGAAGAAAGAACAGTAAGATATATAATCCGGTGTTCTTATAGGTATATATTTCGAAACATGGTTAGAACTGTGTAGAAAAAACATATTTTAAATCAATTAATTTATTATATATATATATATATATATATATATATATATATATATATATATATATATATATATATATATATATATATAGCTAATTAAATACAAACGTTCTAGTCGTATGATCCAGCACTTTCTAAATAAAAAGGGAAGTTACACAACACCACACATTGTTCTTGAATGTCCAGTCTACTACTCTGCCTTATGTTGCAGAGACTTAACTCCTCTTAAACCTAATACCAAAATAACCCTCTTCCAAGAAAAAAAAAAAACTTTGTTCAAATTAATCCAAACCTGAGGGCAAAACGAAATAGCTTGAAATTTATTAAAATTGAAATTTCAGAAAATTAATTAAAGCCTTCTTTTAGAGAAGTGAAAAAATATGGAAGTAAGAGTAAGAGAGACAGATATAGGCAATAATGGAAGTGTGAGGAGGGAGAGAGAAAGAAAGAGAGGGAGAAGGACAGAATAAATGATGAATCGAGAAAAAGGGAAAGAAGAGGTGAATGTAATAAAGGTTGATAGAGAAAAAAAGAAAGAGAAAATAATTGTGCGATGGAGAGATAGACAGAGTGAGAGTGTAAGTATATGTATAGAGGGAGGATGAAAACGATAAGTGTAGTGTGTAAGTAGGAAACGAAGCGAGGGTGTGTGTGTGTGTGTGTGTGTGAGAGAGAGAGAGAGAGAGAGAAAGTGTGAAAAAAGGAGAGAAAGTGCATGAGGGTGAGAACAAAAGAAAGAGATAGAGTAAGTAAGAGTGAGATAAGAATTAAGAAGATAGAGAGAAAGAGAGGGAGAGACAGAAGGGGCGACAGAGAGGGTGATAGAGCATGAGGGTGAGAATGAAAGAAAGTGATAAAGTAAGAGTGAGATAAGAATTAAGAAGAGAGGGAGAGAAAGAGAGGGAGAGACAGAAGGGGCGACAGAGAGGGTGATAGAGCATGAGGGTGAGAATGAAAGAAAGAGATAGAGTAAGTAAGAATGAGATAAGAATTAAGAAGAGAGGGAGAGAAAGAGAGGGAGAGACAGAAGGGGCGACAGAGAGTGAGATAGAGCATGAGGGTGAGAACGAAAGAAAGTGATAGAGTAAGCAAGAATGAGATAAGACGTACGAGAGAGAGAGACAGACAGAAGGGGCGATAAAGAGAGAGATACAGCATGAGGGTGAGAACGAAAGAAACAGAGTGAGTAAGAATGAGACAAATGAAGAGAGTGTAGTGGAGGGAGAAAGTGAATTTTATATAACAAAACATTTGAATGGAACAAAAGACACCTAATAAATGTAAGAAGGTGCTGAAAAGTCCTTGGCTCGACTTTATTTCAAAAATCATTTAAGATTTTAATAACCATGGATCAAAATGCATGTTACTTTACCGACACGTTTCGTCCCCTGACGGACTCTAGCCAAATTGAAGGGATTTATTTTGCAGCGCGCATTCATAAACAAAAGTAAAAAAATATTGTTGAGTGTCCAACATTTACAAATTTCAGGACGCGCATGAATATTATTCAGGGTAATAATTAAAGTCATGGTAAACTCTGGAGAATGCTAAGTGATATCATTTCTGTCTTGTAAAAGTCCATCAGAGGACGAAACGAGAAACGCTTGCTTGGCGTGAAATGAATATATATATATATATATATATATATATATATATGTGTGTGTGTGTGTGTGTGTGTGTGTGTGTGTGTGTGTGTGTGTGTGTGTGTGAAAAAATATAGAAAATAGGAAAGAACTCGTTAGGTAAATAATACAAAAGTTCTTTAGTATTTTTGTTATTATTTTAAAAAATAGTGCTGGATACAAAAGTAGAGCCTAAATATAATTATTTATTTAAAATATGATTTAACACGCTACATAAGGTTCTCATGTTTCAAAACAAGAGTTGAAAGTTCAATATAATTATTTGAATTAAATTGAATTAAAAGTATTTCTGTTCCATCTTCAAGCGAAATTATTTTGGAACTTGAAATTTCGCTTGAAGATGGAACAGAGCTTAGTACTTCAATTCAATTTAATTCAAATAATTATATTGAAGTTTTCGTCTCTTGTTTTGAAACATGAGAACACTTATGTAGCGTGTTTGAATCATATTTTTAAATAAATAATTATATATATGTGTGTGTGTGTGTGTGTGTGTGTGTGTGTAGAGAGAGAAGGAAAGAAAAAAAGTAAGTATGAATAGAAGTGAACAACGAAGGAAAAAAAGAAAAAAAAATAAAAAGAGAATAGAAAGAAAATGGAGAAGCATATAAAAGAACAAAAACTAGGAAAAGGAATAAAGAAATATAAGAAAGAAAGAAAGAAAAAGAAAAAGAAAAAAGGAAAAATAAAGGAGAATATAAGTAAATAAATAAAGAAAGAAAGAAAAAAGAAAGAAAAAAAAAAAATAAAGAAAAAGAGAATAGAAAGAAATGGAGAAGCATATAAAAGAACAAAACTAGGAAATATGAAGAAAGAAAGAAAGAAAAAAGAAAAGGAAAAAAATAAAGGAGAATATAAGTAAATAAATAAAGAAAGAAAGAAAAAAGAAAGAAAAATAAAGAAAAAAGAGAATAGAAAGAAATGGAGAAGTATAAAAAAAGAACAAAACTAGGGAAATAAAGAAGAAAGAAAAAAAAGAAAGAAAGAAAAGGAAAAAAAGGAAAGGAGAATATAAGTAAATAAAAAGAAAGAAAAAAAAAAAAAAAGAAAAAAAAAAAGAAAAAGAGAATAGAAAGAAAATGGAGAAGCATAAATAAAAGAACAAAAAAGAAGGAAAAATGAAGAAATATAAAGAAAAAAAGAAAGAAAAGGAAAAAAATAAAGGAGAATATAAGTAAATAAATAAAGAAAGAAAGAAAAAAGAAAGAAAAAATAAATAAATAAAGAATGAAACTGTTAATAGAAAGAAAGAAATAAATAAAGAGAAGTATGTAAAGGAAGAAAAAGAACCAGGATATATATATATATATATATATATATATATATATATATATATATATATATATATATATATATTTTTTTTTTATAATTATTGATTTAAAATATGTTTTTTTTCGCTACACAGTTCTAACTCTGTAGCGAAAAAAAACATATTTTAAATCAATTAACTTTATAATATTAATGCTCTGTAAATTTACATTGAGCACTATTTTGTAAAATAAAATATCTATAAGAACACCGGATTATATATCTTATTGTTCTATCTATATATATATATATATATATATATATATATATATATATATATATATATATATATATATCCTGATTCTACTTTTCTTCCTTTATATACTTCATTTACTTTCTTCCTATTAACCCTTTAAAACACACACACACACACACACACACACACACACACACACACACACATATATATATATATATATAAAGAAGATGAAGGAATGAAGGAAAATACAACAAGGAAAAGAAAAGCAAAAGGCAAAACAAAAACATAACAGGGGCAATGGAAATTAAAGAGAGAAGTGAAAAAGTAAGAAAAACGGGAGAAAGAAATAGGCAAGAAGAAGAAAAGTAGAAAGAAAAAGATACTAGGAAGAAAATGCAGGAGTGAAGAATGAAAGGGGAAAATTGAATGGGAAGGAGTAGGAAAAGAATAAAATACTGAAAAGCAAATGAGAAAAAAAACAAGGAACGATAGGAAAGAATAAATAACGAATTTAAAAAAGATTAACTGAAAAGAAATAATCTAAAAGAGAAGGGATGTATAAAGAAACAATCGAAAATAAGGATGTATAAAGAAAGAATCTAAAAAGGAAGGAATGTAAAAATTAAGAATCTAAAAGGTGAAGGAATCTATAAAGAAAGAATTTAAAAAAAAGAAGGGATGTATAAAGAAATAATCGAAAATAAGGATGTATAAAGAAAGAATCTAAAAAGGAACGAATGTAAAAAGTAAGAATCTAAAAGGTGAAGGAATCTATAAAGAGAGAATTTAAAAAAAGAAGGGATGTATAAAGAAAGAATCGAAAATAAGGATGTATAAAGAAAGAATCTAAAAAGGAAGGAATGTAAAAAGTAAGAATCTAAAAGGTGAAGGAATCTATAAGGAAAGAATTTAAAAAAAGAAGGGATGTATAAAGAAATAATCGAAAATAAGGATGTATAAAGAAAGAATCTAAAAAGGAAGGAATGTAAAAAGTAATAATCTAAAAGGTGAAGGAATCTATAAAGACAGAATTTAAAAAAAGAAGGGATGTATAAAGAAAGAATCGAATATAAGGATGTATAAAGAAAGAATCTAAAAAGGAAGGAATGTAAAAAGTAAGAATCTAAAAGGTGAAGGAATCTATAAAGAAAGAATTTTAAAAAAGAAGGGATGTATAAAGAAACAATCGAAAATAAGGATGTATAAAGAAAGAATCTAAAAAGGAAGGAATGTAAAAAGTAAGAATCTAAAAGGTGAAGGAATCTATAAAGAAAGAATTTTAAAAAAGAAGGGATGTATAAAGAAAGAATCGAAAATAAGGATGTATAAAGAAAAAATCTAAAAAGGAAGGAATGTAAATAGTAAGAATCCAAAATGTGAAGGAATCTATAAAGAATGAATTTAAAAAAAGAAGGGATGTATAAAGAAATAATCTAAAATAACGAATGCATAATGAATGAATCTAAACATGTACGAATGAAAAAAGTAAGAATCTAAAATGTGAAGGATCTATAAAGAACGAGTCCAAAAAAGAAGAGATGTATAAAGAAATAATCTAAAACAAGGAATGAATAAAAAAGAATCTAAAAAGGAAGGAATGTAAAAAGTAAGAATCTAAAATGTGAAGGAATGAATAAAGAAAGAATCTATAAAAGAAGAGATGTATAAAGAAATAATCTAAAATAAGTAATGAATAAAAAAAATAAGGAATGAATAAAGAAAGGATCTATAAAAGAATAAGGAATAAATAATAAAAATGAATATAAAAAAATAAAGAATGAATAAAGAAAGAATCTATAAAAGAAAAGATGTATAAAGAAATAATCTAAAATAAGTAATGTTTAAAGAAAGAATCTAAAAACGATAGGATGTAAAAAGAAATAATCTAAAATAAGGAATGTATAAACAAAGAATCTAAAAAAGAAGGAATGTAAAAAAGGAAGAATCTAAAATGTGACGGATCTATAAAGAAAGAACCTAAAAAAGAAGAGATATACAATGAAATAATCTAAAATAAGGAATGTATAAAAAAGAATCTAAAAAGGAAGAAATGTAAAAAGTAAGTATATAAAATGTGAAGGAATGAATAAAGAAAGAATCTATAAAAGAAGAGATGTATAAAGAAATAATCTAAAATAAGTAATGTATAAAGAAAGAATCTAAAAACGATAGCATGTATAAAGAAATCTTCTAAATTAAGGAATGTATAAACAAAGAATCTAAAAATTAAGAAATGTAAAAAGTAAGAATCTAAAATGTGATGGATCGATAAAGAAAGAACGTCAAAAGGAAGAGATATACAATGAAATAATCTAAAATAAGGAATGTATAAAAAAGAATCTAAAAAGAAACGTAAAAAGTAAGAATCTAAAATGTGAAGGAATGTCTAAAGAAAGAATCTGAAAAAAGAAGGAATATATACAGAAATAATCTAAAATAATGAATGTATAAAGAAAGAATCTAAAAAGAAGTGATGTACAAAAAAAATAACTTTAGCCCAGATTGAATATATAAAGAAAGAACCTTAAGGAAGTATCTAAAAATGAAGAAATGTATATAGAAAGGATACAAAAAGAACGAATGTACTGAAAAAGATTCTACAAAACAATGAATGTACTAAGAAGAAAAAATCTAGAAAAAGGAATGTATGAAAATGAAGCATAGAAAGGAGCGAATATATAAAAGAAAGAACCTGAAGATACATAAATAACATAGGAAGGACAGTATGCATAAAACAAAGAACCTAAAAGCAAAGGAAATATGAAAACAAGGATAGATAGGAATATAATGTATAAAAGAAAGATCTTAAAAATGGTGTAATATATAAATACATAGGTCAGAAACAAACAAATCGTATAGAATGGAAATAATATATAAATGAAATTATTTAAATATCAAGGAAATATATAAAGAAGTTGATTAGAAAGGAAAGTATGTATGAAAGAAAATTTTAAAATGAAGGCATGTATAAAAGTGAGTAAAGTGTTGTATATAGAAGAATTCTAAAAAGAAAGGACTGTATAAAATAATAACCTAAGACAGAAAGAACGTATAGTGAAGGAGCTTACAAAAGAAAGGGATATATAACGAGAAAGCCTAAATGTAAGGAATATATACAAAGAAAGAACTTAACAAAAGTAATTGATATGGTGTGTAAGAACGAGTTTCTAAAAGAATGATTAGATTCTTACTTTTTACTTTTCTTTTTTTTTAGATTCTTTCTTTTCTGAAGAAACCTGAAAAGGAAGAAACCTGTAAAGAAAAACGTGTGAAATGAAAGAACCCACAAGAAAGAACGAAAAGGGAAAAATAATAGAACGAATTCTTTCTTTTCAAAATGAATGCAAATATTTGTGGACAGACAACGAAAGTTTGGAGAAAAAAAAATGAGGAATACAATAAAACAATAAAAAACTATAAAAAAAAAGGGCGATGAAAGAAAAAATAATGAATTTAGAAAGATTTCAAAGAAGAAAAAGAAAAAAAAACCCCAGAAATCTCTTTAAAAAAGAGTTAAATACAGGGTAAGGAGAGATAAGAAGGAATTGCAAGAGAATGCTTTTTAATTAACATTGCTTCAAGTTTCTCTTAAAGCGAAGGGAATTAAAATTCGCTAATTGTTGTTCTATGTTAAAGATTTATAATTTTTACATATTATCTTATAATTGACAATGCGAAACTAATGGCTTATTTGTCCAACGGCTGAAATACAATCAGAGAAGTACATAACGAAATAATAATAATAATAATAATAATAATAATAATAATAATAATAAAATCGAAATATCAAAAATGTGGCACATAAAAACATTGGCAATTTCAGTTGTAGATGGAGCCCTCGTATTGATTGGAAACCATTCCAATAGATGCATTGAAGGGATTCTTGGTAGCCCATACCTTAAAAAAATACAAACAAATGTTCTCCCAAATGCAGTCAACATCTTACAAAGGGCTGTATTTAGGTAAAATATGTGAGATTTTTTTTTCAAAAGTGATAAGTGGAAAATGTCATGAAGCCATTTCTTTGGCCGGGACCCAGAAAGAAATGAGTGTACACCAGAAATCAAAGGAAATAATAATAATAATAATAATGATAATAATAATAACCCAGACCTGGTTCACAGATAGAACAATCAAAGCTAACCGCCCAGACATTGTTATTAGAGACCGCAAACAAAAAAAAGTGCCCCCTTATTTATATGGCAGTCCCTGCAGACTGCAATGTATCTTTGAAGATCTTCAAAAAGTTATCAAAATACAAGGACCTTGAAATCGAAATCTCAAAAATGTGGCACAATCTCCGTTTTAGTTAGAACCCTCGGAATAGTTGGAAAATATGCTAGTAGACTAATTGAAGGGATTCCTGGAAGCCCATGCCTTAAAGAATTACAAAAAAATTGTTCTCAAGAGTACAGCCCACACGTTACGAAGGGCTTAATCTATATAAAATATGTTTTTTTTTTAACAATGGAAAATGTCATGATGCCACTTCTAATCTTAGGTCTCTGGATGGGACCCGGAATGAAATGAGTACACACCGGAAATCAAAGGACATAAAATGATAATAATAAAGTTCATTGGCCGTCTTGTATCAGGTTGCACTGTTTTAGAACCTACTCAATATAAAAGCCGATATGATAAAGTGACTGTTATGGAACCTTACCCATAATAACATAATGGACTATTCCATACGTAATAAATACTGCGCCTCAAGAGGAAGCAGGGAGTTCTGTCCGAAGTCGGGCGACCGGCTGATCGGTTGAACTCTCTGTCTTCGGGCGGGGAGGAATCCGAACGAGGCTACGCCGAAGGGCGGAGTCTCTTTCGGGGAGGTAAACCGACCCTAAACCCGTTTATACGGGTTCAAATGGCATATTTTTGGCCGAGCCCACGGGCTCGGAGATCCCACGGGCTCGGAGATCCCACGTTAAACCGGCCTTGTGCCACATGATGCCCTCGTGGAGTGGGTGACTAAATACCGTTCAGTCTGAAGTCTGGAGTGAAGTCCGTCAGGAGTTTGTCAGTTAGTCAGTGTTAGCGAATCAGTCAGTCGAGTCAGAGGCAGTCCGAAACAGAGTCGCATTCAGACAATTACTACTAAACCTGATTGTTCGTACTAACACTTTCTACTTCTCTGTATATATTCCTGTTTGTAATATATCTGTGTTATTCCATATCCATATTCTAGTTCTTCTTTATTGGTTCTACCTTGGACTATCACCGTGGTACAAGGAACCAGACCATAACAGTGACATAATATATGAACACCACCCATATCCAGTCAGAGACATAAGGCCAGTAACAATCTTATAGGACTTTACAATACAAAGAGACAGAACAATCAAATCTAATCGCCCAGAAATCGTGATCAAAGATTGCAAAAAAAAAAACAAACAAAAAGCAAAAAAAAATGCCCCTTCTTACTGACATGGCAGTCGCTGCAGACTGTAATATATCTTTGAAAATCTTCAAAAACCTCTGATAGACTCATCGAAACGATCACTGGTAGCCCATGCCTTAAAGAACTACAAAAAAATGTACTGACAAGTACAGTACACACTTTACGAAGGGCTTTACCAATGTAAAATTTGTGTGATCTTAAGCTAGAAAGTCTTCAGTGAAAACGTCATGATACCATTTCTGTCTTTAGGTCTCTGGTTGGGACCCGGAAGGAAATGAATATACAACAGAAATCAAAGGAAATAATAATTTCATTTTAATTGGTTAGTGCGTTTTGCGCCGCTGTGGTCATTACTCCCTCTATCTTACAATTGTGGTTGTTGGTGACATTCAATGCAGAATAGCACAATGAGCTGCCGCTCCCTTTTCCACGGGGGGGGGTTGAGGTTAACCCGCTCCTCCTCTCAAATGTGGATTTGTTTTTGAATTTACCTTTTTCTAGCCTTTACCTAAAGAGGCAACAGGAATCAGTCTGCCTTGCTATTTTACCCATAGTTGAGAGGGACGAGATGAACTCATACTTTTCCCAAAGATATTAGCACTGTAATTCAAATTCGGAGCTTCGATTCCTCAATCCGAGCCGCTAACCATTATTCCACCCCAACACCACCACCACCACCACCACCACCGCCAACAAAAACAACAACAACAAATAATAATAATAATAATAATAATACAGACAGAACAATCGAAGCTAAGCGCCCAGGCATCATGTTCAAAGACCACCATGCTTTCTTATTGACATGGTAGTCCCTGCAGATTGTAATGTATCCTCGAAGAGCTAAAAAAAACACAAAAAACAAAAGACACAAAAAACAAACAAAAAAAAAAAACAAAACAAAAAACAAACAAACAAAAAAAAGACAAGACCTTGAAGTGGAAATCCCAAAAATGTTGTACATGAGGATATCAACAATTCCAGTTGTAGATGGCTCCATCGAATTGACTGGAAATTAATGCAATAGATTCAGTGAAGGGATTCCTGGTAGCTGATGCCTTAAAGAAATACAAAAAATATTCTTACAAGTACAGCTCACAACTTACTATGTAAAATATGTGGGATTATTTATTTTTCAAAAATGCTCAGTGGAAAATATCATGATGCTATTTCTAACCTTAGGTTTCTGGTTGGGGCCCAGAAAGAAATGAGTATATACTAGAAATGAAAGGAAACAACAACGACGACGACAACAACAACAACAACAACAACAATAATAATAATAATAATAATTGTTTTATCTATTTAAAATGTGTGTGATCTTGTTTTTTTTCTTAAAAAATGCTCAGTGGAAAATGCTACAGACAGGGAGATTGATGCAAACAGACCAGGCATATTAATAAATAATTTCAAAAAAGGGGAACCTGGCAACTAATTGATATGACTTGCCCACATGAAACCAATGTTTCTAGAAAAAAAGAATTTCAAAAACAGTCACATTAAGGAACTGTAAATCGAATCAACTAAAACGTAGAAACTTAAAACTACAATTATTCTTGTAGTAATAGGGTCATCTGGTATGATAAAGGATGGCCCCGAAAATCATGTGAGCACAATTCCTGGAGACGTCACCATTACAGAGCGGCAAAAATATTACTTTGCGGAACTGAACTGCAAAACCCTCCGAATCATCCCAAATCAAAAAACCCTCCGAATCTAAACGAAACGTCCCAAATGTGCATAAATAATAATAATAATAATAATAATAATAAAGTGTGGTCAAAAAGAAGAGATTTCCTACTGTGCCCCTGTTTTACTGAACTTCCCAAGTAGAACCCAGAAGGGTCTGACTTATAATTAGGGCAGTCTTAAAATTGCTATCTGAAAGATGCTACCACAGAAACAACAACAAACAAAAACAACAATAATAATATTAATAATAATAATAATAATAAATAAAGTGTGGTCAAAAAGAGAAGAGAAATGTAAACGCAAGGACCTTGAAATAAAAAATCCAGATATCAAAAAATAATAATAATAATAATAATAATAATAATAATAAAAATCATTGTCGAGAGGCTTGTTTTTCACTTTTAAGTCTAAAGGATGCATCTAGATACTTGTGACCATTCTCAGACGGCGGCCGTCTAAACGGACTGGGTTTGCCCCTAGACTGGTTGAAAAAGAAGTAGACTTTTTCCTGAACCATGGGAGATACCCAATTTAAAGTTTCAATTTAATCTGATGGGCTTTTTTTTTTAGTCATAACTTTCTAAACAGATGTCGCCAGATATTTGGCTGCGATGCATCTAGATGACCATTCTCAGACGGCGGCCGTCTAAACGGACTGGGTTTGCCAACTATGAAGTATTTCGAACTGGGCCCAATCTATAAGTTGATGGGCTTCTTTTATCAGGATGTGGGTATCGAGAAGTGTATATTGGGCTTCTTATATTTCTACAACAGCATCACTTTGTTGATTTGTCGCTCAAGTAAATAGAATGAACACGAGCCATCAACTGTAAGAGAAGTACATAATCTCTGAAACATGTCAACAGATATCACATAGTAGTGGAATTCAAGAAGGAAAGAACTTGTCTGTTTATCGTCTCGTCTGTTCCCAAAAAAGAAGTACTTCCCTAACAACTACAGATCAACTCCTCCAAATAAATATCACAGAAATAGTAAAGGACTGTAACAAAGAGAAAATCAGTAAAACTGGAAATAATAATAATAATAATAATAATAACCCCAGACCTGGTTACGGAGACAGGACCTGTTACAATTCTATGGGACTACACAATACACACTGGCAGAACAATCAAAGCCAACCGGCCAGATATTGTTATTAAAGACCACAAACAAAAACAGTGCCTCCTTATTGATATGACAGTCCCTGCTGACTGCAATGTATCTTTGAAGATATTCAAAAAGCTGTCAAAATACAAGGACCTTGAAATAAAAATCTCAAATATGTGGCATATGGGAACATCAATAATCCCTGTTGTAGTTGGAACCCTAGGACTGGTTGGAAAAGATTGCAGTAGACTAATTGAAGGGATTCCTGGAAGTCCATGCCTCAAATAGTTGCAAAACTTTGTTCTCACAAGTACAGCCTACACTTTATGAAGGCTTTTTCTATGTAGATTTTTTTTTTGTCAGTGAAAAGTGTCAT